AAAAAAAATATATATATATATCTGCAGTCAGAAAAACATCAGGTTTCACAACGCATCAACAACGGCAAATAATGAATGGATAAAATAAAAGAATAAATACATCAAAAAGGTAATGAGAGATATTAAAGCTGACCTGAAGGCAAAAATTGTGACTGTTCAAGTTCAAAATTGTGAAACAATATGTCTGAATACTTGTTTTTGAGAATATAATGTTTTAATTTAACTAGGAAGTTTCCCAAAACACTGAAGGTTAGTACGTCTCACCTACAGTCAAAAACAGCTTCAGTGTGAAATGAACAAAGTAGAAATCATGAAAAATGCTAATAAAATCCACCAGATATAACCCTGTGGTTCTGTATGTGTGTGTTTACGTCAGGTGATTCCTCTGTATGTCGCTGAGAGCCAATCATCAGTGCCGCTGGTCTCTCCGGTGAAGTGCTGCTGTCCGTCCACTTCAGCCATGATTCCACAGCAGCACAACACGTCCTCACCTCTGCTCAGGTTGGTGTCCATAGTCTCTCACCAGATAATCAGGTCTCACCTATCATACATACACGCCGTGCTGTGGATACAATCATCAGCCTGGAGACATACAGTACTGAATATGTGTAACACTTCAGCTGTTCACTGGCCCCTCAGGTGCAGTCTGGATCATCCTCCCCGCCCAGTTTCCTCCTGCGTGCTGTCCGGCCGAACCCTGGGCGGTTCAGAGTTTTTCCCTGGATGCCGTGTGCTGGCCAGGAGGGAGGTGGATGGCTTCTATTACCTGGGCACTGTCATACAGCAAGTTCAGGTGAAAAGACATGACGTCTGTTTATGATGACATCCAGTTAGGGTCTGTCATTATTTGGACAGTGACAGTTGTAGTTAGTTAAGTTACTCCACAGTGATTCTGAGGAGAAACAGAGACAATGAGGTTCAATTTTAAGGATATTTAAGGGTTTACATTATATTGATTGAACTGTGTAAGACCTCAAGGTCTTTTTATACATAGTCCTCCAATATGAGGACATTGCAACTGGACACTCATCATATATAAAACCAAAGCAACCAAGTAGGCATTTTCAGGGGCAAAAAGTTGAATGTCAGACCTCAATCCAACTGATCGAATGTTAAATTTGATGAAGATCAGACTGAAGGCAACAAGTCCCCAAAACAGGCATCACCTGGAACATGTCTGCTTATGTCTGTTAAAGCACAAGTTAAAGTTTATTTGTCATTCCAACAATAAAACACACAGCTGAACTAAAACAAAAAATCTGCACTAATTATAATATTATACTAATTAAACTAATAAAATTTCATTTTTGTTTCCTAAAATTAGAGGAATAGCACAAAAAAGCAGCTACATGATGAGGCAAAATAAAAGTTTAAAGTCCTGCTTTTAAAGGATGGGTTCACATCTTTGAAGTGAGTATGTAAAGCTTTATTTATGAAGTACTTTTCAAAACAAAAGCTACAAAGTACTTCAAATTAAAAGCATGAAAAAAGCATGATAGAGTGGACACAATAACAGAAACTAAAGAAATTAATAAAATGAAATTAAAATTTAGTTAAAAGTGTTTTAAAACAACAGAAATGTGCCCATGTAGTATATTTGGCCTATATACAGTACATATTCCTCCTGTTCATACTAGCCACTGAAATATTAATATCCCTCCATAGTGTGCTTTCAAAATAAGTGACGAGAGACAAAATCCACAGTTGTCGTTACTTAAAATTTATCTGAAGCTTATATGAGGCTTCACCACTCTGAATTAGACAAATCAAGTGGAAGTTACAATCTTTTTAGTGTGAAACTCCCTCCTTGGACAGTGTTAAAATGCAAAGAAGATGTGAATCTATCCTCATATTCAGTTCAAATCCACTGTGTTAAACTGCAGAGGCAACACAACAGAAAACATGTCACCACTAAATAGGCCTTAATAAATAGGACTTATAGACTGCTGTATATTCTGACAAGTAAAGGTAACATCTTGTTCCCATGTATCCAAACTCAGGACCGCACAGCAGTATGGGTAGTTGAGTTTGACCATCCAGGAGGGTCTAGTCTGGGGGTTGTCTCCTCCCAGAGGCAGCTGGTTTGCTCCCTGGACATGGTGAGCCACATTAAGGATCATACACACTGTCTGGTACCTGGAAATACTGTCCTGTCGCCATGGGAACCTGGTCTGAGGAGATACGGGCCGGGGAGAGTGATGGCCGCCACAGAGCACAGAGGTGGTATTAGAGGTAGAGAATGAAAAGCGTGTGTGTTTACATTTTTGTGGATGAAGGTAAAATTGATAATCTCCAAAATGAAAAATTCTAGTAAGAAGGTTTTTATTGAATGGATGCTAGATGGAAGTACTTCAACTTTATATAAAAGTATTACTATTGTTTGAGCCCATTCGAATGGGATGAACGTTACAGGGGGAGGTGGGGAATAAAATATTCACTGTCCACCAGGGGGAAGCTGGAGAGTTGAGGGGTGAGGTGTGGAGGGAGAGACTGTGTGAACCAAAAATGAGTCATAAAACAAACACAAAACAAATATTGAAATCATTCAGTGTGACTTACATTTACCACAGGTATCATTACCTCAGATGTCCATCACATCTAAATGTCCAAATCCACTAAATCCAAAGATGTAGTGGATTTTTTCAGAACTTGCCTGAGAATCATCACGTTCTTCAGTATCAAATAATTCAGTCGCACTTATCTGTACATCCATGGTTACATTGCAAACAGGAACAAATGATATTTAATTCGGCATTGATTTAATGGTGCCAATTTGCCAAAATGTAAACAAATACAGGCTAAAACACAGGGCTCAAATCAGAATACCAATTTAACACTGTGCTTTAATTTCATCCCATTTCCTGTTGCTTTCACATTCTTCTGTCTTTGCAAAGAGCTGAAAAATTTACACTTTCCTCTGTTTTAGTATTTTATTATATTATCTTTATCACTCTTTATCTTTGCTTACCAGTCTTCAGTGTTTCCTCACTGCAAATTCATGAGATTCACGATAGCGTTTCCTCAGTTTCTGTTTTCATTGTCTTAATTTTTTGTGTTTTTACCCCTTGGTCTGTGTATAAATGGGGGTGAATCTGTGTGTGTGTGTGTGTGTGTGTGTGTGTGTGAGAGTTAGTGAAGGGGTGGGGGGTGGGGATGGGGTGTTGTTTTTTATTGCTTCTATTCTGTAAAGCACTTTGTGTTAGATTGTATGAAAAGTGCTATACAAATAAAGTCTGATTGATTGGTTGACTCCAACAGGTGTCCATAACAGCAGACAATGTATATTAGTATAATTATTGTTAATGTAAAAGAAAGCGCAGATATCTATTCATGACCACCCTCAGTAAATCACTCTGATGTCTCAGTCTTCCCTGCAGTTGACTGTGTTAGGAGTCTCCGGGTGCTGATGTGGAGCGGCTGTGTGACTCTGGTTCCTGACAGCCTGGTTTTACCTATTTCACCGTCTCACTATGACAGGATAGTCAGGGAGCTCCAAATCCCTACATCAGCTGCCAGTCAGTGTTGCAGCTGGCTTAGTGCTGCTCGCAGCTCTTCCTGCACTCCCCAGCTGTTCAGCCCCGACTGCTCAGCAGCTGCACCTCGCCGCTGTTCGATGACAGACCACTGGCCCCGCATGCCCCCACCCAGTTGTAGGTCCAGCCTCGGAAGAATGGATGGATTTGAGTGGGCAGAGCGCGATAAGCAGGTGGACCTCAAAGATACAGACGTGAGGAAGAGTGACCCTGAGGTGCCCTCTTCTTCCTCATCATCATCTCTCTCTGAGGATGAGACCAGAGCAACGTTTCCTCCTGCTGTGAAGCTGAGGAGTAAACAGCATCGTCCTCCCTGGAGGTACTGGAGGAGAACTGGGCCAGAGCCTCAGCACAGGCAGCCAGGTGGGAAACACCGAGTCTGACCAGACTGATCAATTTCTGGTCTTCGATTTCACTGACAGTGACTAAAATGATTCTATTTGATTTCACAAATTGAAAAACAGTTCAAAGTGCTAGGGACATGTCACAAGTCGGTGTAAACAAAATCGTTGCTCAAAGCTACTTTACCACCAGGATGGTTTTTGAGGGAAATCACTTTTTTTTTTTTTTTACTTTACGGCACAAAACATTGATCAAGAGCAGACCAAACCACAGATTTCAGTTTTTCACAGGACCAGATGGTCAGCATAGGGAAATGTTTATTGAAATGTCCCTTCAGGTGTGTAGAAAAATACACAGTAACACTAATAAAGAGAATAGCAGCAAGAGTTGAAATCTGAAATAAATAAAAATCATTATATTTGTCTCTATGGTAAAATGTGTTGAAGCAGTATAAAGGCTGTTGGACTTCACTACTGAACATGTATGTGTTGGATCACACTTATCCAGTAGAGAATGCCAATACTTTATGACTTCATCCCTTCAATCCCTAAGTATTGTGCTTGAAAACATTATTAGTTGGTTGATGATATTTTCATTGCTGACCAAAAACGAGGTGAAACAACCCGGCAAACTCAAAACTAGATGCTCTCTTGTTTGCTGTAGTTTAAATTCATTTTAAGTTATGGATTTTAGCATAAATTCCGCTGAACACTTGTACTAATCACACCACGAGACGAAAGGCACACATGCCCATTGCAGAGCTGTGACAGTGTAAAGTAACACCATTTAACCTGCGGGAGATCTCTTCATGTTTATACATTTTTATTTTTATCTGCAGGGAGTGCAGTGCCCAGGAGGACCTCACAACCAGTGAGGTTCAGCTTCCCTGTCCCGCAGTTCAGCGCCTCGCCAAATCCCAGCTCTCTGTTTCAGTCACTTCCCGACGCTAAAGGAAAAAGAGCGAGCGTCAGAGATGTTTTTGGAACGACCACCTTCAAACCTCGACCGCCTGTGGGACTGCAGCGTTTTGCTGAGAACAATGCTACTGCTGTTTACACATAAAGTCAGTGTGCAGTTGATGAAACATGGCAATGTGTCTATAGAGTTGGAAAAAACAACAACAAATAAAAACGTTAAAAATATTTTAATTAAAAATACACTTTATTTAATACACTGATGTGGCATTAGTGCAGGTAAACAAATTGTTAAGTGCATTACATGATTTTCTAATTTCAATCCACATAATAATACTCAAGGAAAATGCAATAAAAATATGGCTTCTCATTGTGCAGCAAATAAAACATTTTGATAATAAAATAAGATGTAAACCCAGTGTAAAGCAGGCAATAAAAAAAAACACACACACACAGCATTAGCATTGGTCAGGTGTTACTGAAGGTTAAGGATTAGGTCAGAGGTTAAAGGTGAGCTTGATGCTCTCTCCAGCTTTGACACTAACCAGCTGAGTCTGCTGCTGTGACTCCTGCATGCTGGCAGTGACGGCGTACGTTCCAGGTGAAACCTCGATGTAGAAATCTTCACCTGCTGCCGACACGCGACCCTGAAGACAACAAGACTTTTAACAATTTTAAAAAACTTTTAGTCCCAACACAACCACCATCACAGGATTTGCAGGGTGACACTGATGTGGAGGCACCGTAAAGTTTCTCTGATGACTGCTCAAGACAAGAAATCCGCAGTCCATAGGATTCAATACAAAAAGGAACCAAAACTTCTCTCAAACCGAATAATATTTTTTCTACAATATTTTTTCTGGGTTATTTGTTGTACTTGTGTGTCTGGGTGGTTGTGATGATCAGTGTTGATGGATGCATAATTGATGTGTAGTGTAGTCCGCTGTGGTATTTTCAGTGTCCTACTTTAGACTGGGCTGAAATCTAAAAGTTTTGGCAGCACACAGATCCTTCAAACACAGTGCCTGTCTAACTTATTACCAAATATCTTTAGAGGTACATTATTAACAACATTTTTAATATCAACATAGAATTAGAGGAGTTTCCGAAAGTAAAAGTGCTGTTTGTACTGGTATTCTCACTGAGAACCAACACTTGCTAGCTTTTTGCAACCTTCAGCTGCGTCCAACAGGATGTCCATAATGCTTTGTGTGCTTTATGTCAGCTGTGTGCAATTACTAACATTTTAGCCAGAATTATTTGATAAAACCAACAAGCTTCACTTCAACAAACAAAAGGAGTATATGACTGAAAATAAGAGCAACAGATTACCAGCATTTTCTGTCGCACAAAGCCCTTACATGTTTCCTGGTCAGCAGTGCAGGTCTTGTTTTCCCAGCAGCTGGTCGAGTGTGAAACCTGGACACATGGTTCCTCTCATTTTCAGTGAGCTCAGTGCAGCAGCCCGACTCATAAAACCTCTGCAGCACAGACAAAATGCACATTTTAGTCTTCAAAGTCCCTGGCTGAGAGCACACACAGTGGGCGAAGCTGACACCTCACAAATCATCACTGACCTTGCAGTGATACGTCGTCTGTGCCATGAACTCTGCGATGGTTGCAAAGGCATCATTAAGCTCTCTGTGGACTCTCTGAAAAACAGACATAAAAAAGGAGCATGACTTGAGAAAAGGTGAGCTAATGTGAAACCTAGTCGAGGTGCAATCATTCAAAATCAATCCATGCGGTGCAGTAGTGTTACTATACAAAAACATGCAGGCACCTTGACAGGGACTTGTGTGTTTTCATCTGTAGTAGTGGGGGTCTGGGATGCACCAGTGCTGGTCCAGTCAACGCTACGCCTGGAGGCCCGCTCCAGCACCTCCAGGCCCAGACTGGCAGAGCGCCGCAGGGAAGACTCCAGCCAGGCTTGGCTTGCCATGAACAAGTCAAGTAAATCTCAGGTGACCTTCACCTGAGAGGAGGAACAAGCAGAGAGCACTCAATCAGCCACTTTCTTTACCCTTACCCCACAGTGAAGTCCAATGGACTGGAATTTTATGCTTGCATATACACTTGTCTTTTCTAGTGATTTGATATGTACATAAATTGTTACTCAGTTGACATACATATAAAGCAACAATTTTGATAATCTGGCAATTTTTAAGCAAACGTGCAAAAACTTCAAATGTAACATTGCTGTTATTCTTAGACTGCTGTGATATCAAACTGAATATCTTTGGGTTTTGAATTGCTGTTTGGAAAGAATAAGCATTTTGAAGGCATCACCTTGAGTTATGTAAAACAGAACATTTTCCACTGGCAAAAATCAAAAATAAATTCAGTTGCACACTGAGCTGAGCACCGAACTGTTCGCACTGTTCGAGTGAAGACGACATAAACCTCTCAGTGTGTCACAACTCTGGTTCTTGCCATTGTGTAAGTTTTGCTGTTGTCAACACCTGAGAAGGCACTTTGTGACTGCTGTGCACAAAGCAATATTGTTTCACTCATATTTTCCATATTTCCAAACATTTTATAGCCTGATTGTTTTATCAGTAAAATAATGGCAGACTAGAAATGAAAACTGTTGCAGACCCGATTTCCTATCAGGACAGCACAATTTCAAATCATGGATAATATCAGTAAAATATTAATAGGGCTCTAAATTACGTATTTTCATTATCAGTTAATCTGCAGATTACTTTCTTGTGTAATTGATAAATGGCAAAAAAAAAAAAAACCCCAAAAAAGCCCAATGTCTTGCTGTTTAAAGATCTGATCAGGAGCTACTTAAGTCTTCAGAAAGCTTCTCTAACCACGGTACAGTTGTACCGAAATTATAACCTTTAAACACTAACAAGCTTAAAATTAATAGAGGGCAAGTGAACGCATCATATAATCTAGGGAAACAGCGCATGCGTAAAGATTAACTCCATTGAACTACATTAGAGAGCGGCGAATTTGTTACTTTCTTCAGTTTTCATCGCAGCTACTCACCACTTTCTCTACCGTTGTTTTCACTCAGTTTAACCAAATTCCCACAACGTCATACACTTCCGGTTGCACACGTCACGTTCTACATTAACTTCAACGTTTTATGTGCCTTATCAACAAATCGAATGAAGAGATTATTTACTTGTTTACCTCTTTGATGCGTTCAAGGAAAGCTGCGCAGATCAACTAGTACACAGATACATACCGGTAAACACACATTTTTAGAGAATCCCACGTTTCATCATTCAGTTAGCCTACCTTTAACATGGAGTGCTCACATCTTCCACATCAAGTTTGCCACATTTTGACACAGCCGTGCCCGTGCTGGTTTGAAATGACAGGAAGGAAGCCCTGCATGCTAAATGCTAAACCCCGCCCCCTCTATATACTTCCCAGACACTTCACGCGACATTTCATTTTCATCTGATTACTTGTAAGGATTTGCAATAATATCAATATTCACTTTTTAATAAGTTCCAATATACCCGGTAGGGTCACAAGCACTTTCCATTTAAAACTCATGTCCCCACATTTTTAAGATAATACTCTTAATTCTGTGGTGGTTAACCTTTACACCTCTCCATTCCACAGCTGAGACCCTCAATGGTTCATGAAATTTGAAAAATATAGTATTTGCATATTCCGCTATTCACTAAATGTTTATTTTTCTCTAATTATTGTTTTAAGTATTGTGAAGTCCTGGACAGTTCATCCTCTTTGGTCATATAAAAAATATTTAAAAAAACATACAGCAGTAGCTTTCTAGGCTTCAGAGGCCTCCTGACCAAAGAATACATAAAACACTTACTCATTCCCTTCTGGTATTCCTACTCCAACTGCAATAAACTGCCATCAGTTTTCTGTTTGCAGGGTTCCCCTAGTCACTCAGATTCAGCATGTTTCAAAATGTTCAGCAAACCTCTGACAGCAGTGCTGCTTGTTTCACAACAGAGTCCACATTTACCTTTCAAGGCTGATGATGACTCCCTCACTGGGCAGGTAAAAGTTGGTCCATGACTGCTTTTATATACTTCTATATCATCTATAGGGCCCTGTGATCTGTGTCCCACAAGTATGAATTCACAGCTAATGTGCTGGATGCCTTGACCCATGTTACTTTGTCACAGTTGTAGTGCATACTTAAATGAGTGGGCCAACAAGAAAGCTGCTCTTAGTTTTACAAAAAAATATGAATTTTTAGAGGTTTGCAATGATTGCCTTTTCATAAACAGAAGCTTTTTGCAGCACATACACCATAACTGTACCATATATGGAGCCATTTAAAATCAGACAGGACAAATATGTAGTTTCCTTTTATACAGTTTATTTTTGCAAAAACACTGACAGGAGCTTTATGCCATCAGAACGCAGGCTCCTCCCACTGCCTTGATCTTCTCCTCGGCCCTTCGGCTGAAGAACTTGGCCTTGACGATCACAGGCTGCTTGGGCAGCTTGCCTTTGCCCAGAACTTTGTAGTAACCCTGTAAAGTTAAAGATACATTAGTACATCTTAAACACCATTTTATCTGATAATATGCTGCTGAACTGTTTCCATTTACATAGAGAAGCTTGCAATATTTAACCATGCTAAACAGGAAATGAATGAGCATTTAAGAGTTCACAAAAAAATAAAAATTGGAGGCACATGAAAACAAAGCCCAGGATCTTAACATTAACAGTGGTGTCATTGAAATTAAAGGGCCATGGCACTAAAGTATGTAAAAAAACAGCAACACGTAAATTCTACAAATCACCTAGTATCATGGCAAAAATGTTGGGATTTCTGCATGCTTATATTTCAGCAATTATTTTGATAGAACTTTGACTGTCAGCCGTGCCAATGTGGCTCAAAGCTGTGAAGTTTGGTCAAGTAATTGATGGACAGAAAATTGAGAGGCAACCATTTTTACAAACATAATTTCTTTATGCAAAGACATAGCTTCTCAATTGCCAATTTTTTTTAAAAGTTATTTTTGCTGCATTTTTGCCTTTGTTCTGATAGGCTTAGGGAGATATACAGGACAGTCAGGGAGAGAGAGGGGATGCTATGCAGCAAAGAGCTGTGGGTTGGACTCGAACCCATGGCCGCTGCAGTTAGGACTAAGCCTACATGGTACGTGCCCTACCAGGTAAGCCACCAATTCTTTTTGATGCAATACATGACAGTTAGCTTCGGGCTTTGGACTGTTTGGCATAAGAAAAATAGAAATCAACTTGGCTGTGGGAAAGGCTACACTAGGTAAATGTAGTTCATCAAAAGTTCTAATGCAACTTCAGCAAACACAAAGTTGTTTTATCAAGATTGTCTTGATATCCACCATCTAACAAATATATCACCAATATGCCCAAGACCCTTCTTTGCCCAGTTAGCAAATCTGTGAACTCCACAGTGAGACTGCTGAGATTCTGGTTGCAATCACCTGGGCAAACTATTGGAGAAATGACTCAAAATAAGTAAGTAATAAGCCAAAACTAAAAATGCAGTGTCTCGGTTTGTTTCTACAATTATTTAAGAAGGGTATTTTTCCCTCAGATTAAATGTTTTCCTTTACTTACACTCTGAACTATGCTAAGACCCGTCCAACCTTTACTCTTCCTTGGAAAATTGATTGATCAGACTCTGGATAAGACATTTTCTACCCTCCAACTGATATCTCCTTTAATTACTGCTAGGTCTACACTTTACATATGTCATATTTCATTGAAAAACAAAACTCTTAAAAAAGGCCAGTGTAGGTCATTACACCAGCTTGTTGTTCTTATGGACATTCCGGCTCTCTGCCACTGTCAATAATGAAAATATTGGTCAACACTTACAGCGCGCACAGCATCAATGATGGGGGCGGGTCCGTCAGGCTTCTTGCCATAGTTGAGCCTGGTCTGCTCGCTCACCAGCGTCCACAGCTTGTCCAGGTTGATGGTGGGGCAGTGAGTTGTGTTCCTCTTCAGGTGGTAATGTCTCATACCCACCTTACCGAAGTACCCCGGATGGCTGAGGACGAACACGAGAAAGACAGGTGTGAGGTTTACAACAGTGTAACCAGAGCGGGAGACCCACTGAGCATAATGCTGGAAAACTGACAGCTGTCTTTGTTAGGTATATGTAGGTTGTCTTTTGGGTAAGTAATTCATCATTACATAGGTATTGCTGTACTAGAGTTCTCCTCATAGTCAGAGTGGACAAACACTTAACTGGACACAGCAAATAAACAGTAAAATACTAAAAATGAAAACTTCATTGAGAAAAGGAGCTGATTCACTTAATAATGCACTCAAATTCTGATGTGATACAACCACAACATGAGTTCAGAGATATTAATGTTAGACCAAGACAAGAACTTTGTAACTGCCCATGTGGGTGACTAGCCTACAAAGAGCCAGTCGGTGAATAGGACCAGTCTGTACTCTAAGAGGACTCAAGCACACCAAGACAATGATTTGTGTCAAGATGAGACTCTAGTCTCTACAACATTAACCATTACTTGAACTCCTCGATACAGGCAGAAGATACAATGCCAGGCTTAATTGACTGAAGGAATACTACCAATACAAACATACATGTCCAAATCACCTTGCTCATCTGCCTTTTATATAGATATTATAGCAGAATAATAAATTACCCAACAGATATTTCTTTCATTACCTGTGACTAGCTTTTGTTGATAAAAAAACAAAAACAAACTTTACATCAACTTAAACCAGACTCAAATATTTAAAGTTTTCTTTGACAAAGACTGAAATTCTGACAGAGATAACAAGTTTGACTAAATCTAACCTGAGTTTTTCATCTCGGGATTAGATCAAATCAGAAAGTAGACAAAATTAACACAAAAAAAAAAAAAACGGAACAATTTTCAGATACATTTGTTTTGGTTAGACACAGGCAAAAGAAAGCTTCATATGTGCCTCACTATGCTCCAACACAGCACCTACCACTCCCAGAACATTAAGCAGCACTTACTATTTGTCGAAGTTGATTCTGTGGTGATGCATGCCACCAGCATTACCACGACCTCCAGGATGCTTTCTGTGCTTGCCTGTTGGGGTGAACAGGCTCGTGGTTATTATGGATCACAATTACACAGTGAAACACTGAACAGCTAAAACCGCTTGGCAAGCTGGTAAGTGGGAATGTTTATACTCACCGATACGACCATGTCCGTGACTGACGTGTCCTCGGAGCTTCCTGGTCTTGGTCTTCTTAGTAGGCTGTCAGGAAAAGTTTGATAAAGAATGAAATGACTGAGCATCAACTCTAAATTGCTGTCCATCTTACATTTAGCCCCTGAAGCTAGCTGGCTAGCTACATTTAAGAGAGCCAAAATGACCTCTCATCGCTGGTGTTATGATAGACTCATCAGCCCGCCAACTTCGGCCGTATGTCAGTAAAAATTTATAATTAAAAATCGGACACATGAAGCACCTTTCCCCCTTTCCCCACGAGCTCAACCGGTTCATCTAATGTCCCTGGCTGATTACATGCTGCCTAGTATCCTCGGAGGCTAATGCTAACTCACCCGTGTTAACCGGCAAATACACACATAGTAGGCAAAGCGTTTCACACAATACTCCAGGTAAGTTTTGCATTTTAAACAGCTACTTCTTTTGTCATATTCGTGAGAACTGTGGAGGTTTTGTGTACGCGTTAAAAAAAATGCCAAAAACTACACAGCAACATCGAGTTAACTGCTGCAGCCCAGGGCCGAGCTATCGCACAGTCAATCGCACTAAAATCCATATAATATGAATAAATAACGGTAATAACAGCCAGTAATTGCTCGTAAGAGGAGAATGTACAATAAATCACCATCTAATGATATTTGTTTGTATGAACGAACAAGGATGGGGACAGATTTAACTCTATTTCAGTGCTGAGGGATTCATGGTAGCACCTACCATCTTGGAGGATAGTTGTAAGAGGAACGCGATTTGGAAATCACGCGGTTTTGTGCGAGATTTGGTTCTCGACGACAGTGCAAACGCGGCTTACAGGTCCATTACCGCCTCCCACTGGACTGGAGTGTAGATCAGCAGATCAACAACAACAACCGACTGCGTATACAAAATAAAGTCATATGAAGTAGGCTAATATTTCAGTTACATGTACCCTGTCTCTGAACAACAAGTATTTTTTACTTTTGATACTTTGACATTTAGCTGATACTTAAGTAGGATTTTAAATGCGTGACAATTATCCTACTTAATGTAATGGAGTACTTCATATTATGTTCTTGATACTTTTACTTAAACACAGGACATGGGTAACACTTTAAGTCTCCCTATTTAGTATCTATAAGCAATATACAGACATTTAAAAATGGTTTATGGCATAGCCTACAATTATGTAG